CCCACACCCCAAAAAATTATAAATTATCTCTCTTGTCCTGTTGTAGAATGAAGGGACCAAACAACATTCCTGGGTCAGCCAGAGACAGTTTTATTGCGCAAGGTTCAGAGCCAGATTGGTACCTGAAGTTTTGAACAAGGAAAGAGTTTGATATCTCTGTTTTTATACATTTCTAAGACAAAGGATTCAGTGAGATCATGCATTTTCCATATATGGGTAACATGAGATCATACATTCTCCATATATGGCTAACACGCACCTGTCATATGATAATTGACACACTTCCTAATTAATAAACCATTAGTAAACCATTATTTTTAGTTTATAAAATTATCTTAGCTACACAACTTTTCTTAAGTGCTTGTAGTTGTTAATGGGAAATTTACTGCTGTCCTTAGGTAAATTTATTGGATTAAGTAACTCTTTGTAACATATATGTCCTTGTGTCATTCACAGTGAGGTCACTCAGATGTTTTCCATATGGCTGTCCTTCCGTGACATCTAGGTCTCATCAGAAGATATATTACCACTTAATGAGGTTTAACTGTTTGTTAATGTAATTTCCAACAAGCACGTTTCTCTCTTCTAATAATGTGAATAGAGAGATCTTTCAGAGTTCATGTATCTAAGCACGTCTTCCCCTTATAATAATGTGAATAGAGAGGGTCTCCCAGAGCCCATCCATCCGACTCTGTATGATTCCTTCTTTTATCCACATTAATCCAGGGATGGGCTGCTGGGAGTTCGCAGGAGTTTGGGAGAACCTCTAGCTACGATTCTGTGCAGTTCGGAGAACCCCCAAATCCCATTCCTGGCTGGCCCCTCCCACCCCACCCCTCCCAGGAGTCCCCACGCGGCCCGTTTTGAATGCAGGTAAATGCAGGGCGTGCGCGGAGGCTTGGGGAGGGTGAAAAACAGGCCTACCGGAAGTTTGGGAAGGCCAGAAACAGGCCTGTTTCTGGCCTCCACATGGCCTCCGGAGCCTGGGGATGCTGTTTTCGCCCTCTTGGAGGCTCGAGGAAAGCCTCCAGAGCCCGGGGAGGGCAAAAATGCCCCCTCCCATCCATGGTGCAGGAGGCCAACTAGGCCACGCTCACCATGGCCACACCCACCCAGCAACCGGGCAGAGAACCCCTTGCTAAAATTTTGGAAGCCCACCCCTGCTCTTATCCAAAATTGGCTTATAAACTAGCAAAGTTTTCTTCATAAGTTAGCAAAAAAAACCTAGTCAGGTTTATTAGCTGTGTATATCATCTAACATTCCTGGTATTCCAAATATGTGTTACGTCATTGTGAATGGCACACATCAAGGTCTTTATAAAAAATGTATAATTATAAATTATACTCCAGGGTCTGCTATTCTATGTGTGCAATCTTTCTAAGGAAAAACAAGAGCATTTCCTATCTCGAATAAAACATGGAATTTTTACATCTTCGAATCAATACATTGCCATTTTTCATTGCAATTGCCGTTTTTCTTAACCTTGCCATTCAGATGGCCCCTTAAAAAAATACGCAGGGATTCAAAACAGTAACGTGCAAAAAAGAGCATTGTTTGAGACAAAACTGTTGACCAAAAAAATAATAATAATAATCTGCCGGTTTGACAAGATTTCAAACAAAACTCTAAACTGGCCTTATTGGAAGAAACAACATAAAAATGTTTGCACAAACTTTACAATAAACTCTATTCCAAAGACTCAAACTTGGCAGGTTCATAAAAAAACAAGAAATTAAATTAGCGCATTTCAGTAATCCGAATTCCGTGGATGTTTTGAGGACAGGCAATTTTAGAAGGGCAGCAGAGAATTAAAATTCCATGGACAGGCTGGCATTTTCGGTCTGCTAGAGGCCTTTAAAGATTGAATGGATGAATAGAATAGAATAGAATAGAATAGAATAGAATAGAATAGAATAGAATAGAATAGAATAGAATAGAATAGTTGGAAGGGACCTTGGAGGTCTTCTAGTCCAACACCCTGCCCAGGCAGGAAACCCTACACCACTTCAGACAAATGGTTATCCAACATCTTCTTAAAAATTTCCAGTGTTGGAACATTCACAACTTCTACTGGCAGATGCTTGAGATGGGTGCGAGGTTGGTTTCAACGGTAGAAAGATATGGAGAACTACAGTAGTTGATCCTGGTGCAAACCAGGTTTATTTCAGCTATATTTCAGCTCCTGTCAATCCCGTTAGGTAGATCGGCCATGAAATCTTAGAACTTTTAGAATACCTTTGTTGTCACTTCGAATGTACACTAATCGGCATACATTAAAATGAAATTTCATTCTCAAAAGGTCACCACCTCCAATACACACTACATAAGCATGACAAAATAAATAGATAAATAAAGAAGGACCAGGGGAGACACGATAGCAGTGTTCCAATATCTCAGGGGCTGCCACAAAGAAGAGGGAGTCAAGCAGTGGTGAAACCCAATTTTTTTTACTATCGGTTCTGTGGGCGTGGCTTGGTGGGCATGGTGTGACTTGGTGGGTGTGGCTTGGTGGGCCAGGTAGGGGAAGGATACTGCAAAATCTCCATTCCCACCCCACTCTGGGGCCAGCCAGAGGTGGTATTTGCTGGTTCTCCGAAGAACTCAAAATTTCCGCTAGCGGTTCGCCAGAACCTGTCAGAACCTGCTGGATTTCACCCCTGGAGTCAAGCTATTCTCCAAAGCAGCGGTCACCAACTGGGGATCCGTGGACCACTGGTGATCCGCGAGAAAAATTTGGTGGTCCGCAGAAAAATTATTTGCATTTTTTACATTGCACTAAATCAAGGGTCCTCAAACTACGGTCCCTGGGACGGATACGTGCAATGAATATTTGTGTTGCTGCAGAGAGTCTCCCCCTTTGGGGTCTTTTTGTGCGAGTCAGAGGGGGACAGAAATTTCGACTTGGGGTCTGGTTCGGCCTCCTGGTGTGGGGCTTTGGGCAAAGGCTGGAGGGAAGTGCCACTGGTGGCGAAGAGCCGGAGGACCTTGTTCCAGTGGGACTGCATCATGGCCTGGAACTGGCTGACCATCTCAGCCCGCTGAGCCTCCAGGTGCTGGTACCTGGCCTTGCACTCCCGCAGGTCTTCCCTCTGCTTGGAAAGCCTATGCTCCTAGTCCTCAGGGAGGTGCTTTTGCTGAGCCTCCTTCTCAGTCAGAGCCAATTTGAACTTGAGCTGTTTTGCCAACTTTTTTTCGTGATGGCTGTTTAGCTCCAACAACTGCTTCCTATTGGGGCCCTAAGGAGCCCGGGCGGGGAGGCGAGGAGTGGCTGGGAGGGAAGGGTGAGTAGAGACTGGCAAGGCGCCCCTCGATGTGAGTGACATCAAGTTGGCCACGCCCACCCAATCACATGACCAACACCCACTCAGCCGATCATTAGGCAGATCATATTAGTGGTCTGCAGGATTTAAAATTATGAATTTAGTGGTCCCAGAGATCCGAAAGGTTGGTGACCCCTGCTCCAAAGCACCTGAGAGTAGAACAAGAAGCAATGGGTGGAAACTAATCAAAGGGAGAAGCAACCTAGAACTGAGGAGAAAATTCCTGACAGTTAGAACAATTAATCAGTGGAACAACTTGCCACAATTGCCGCTACCGGTTCTCCAGAACCGGTGCGAACCAGCTGAATAACACCTCTGACCTTCATCAAGATCATTTCCCTTAGTCTCTACTTCATTAGGAGCTGTTGATCTGGTTTTCTTTCTTGCTACAGATCCCCACCTTAGGATCTCTCAGTCCGCCCCAAATTCTTGATCTGGAAATGGGTCCCAGGCAGGGGTGAAATGTAAAATCTGTTACTACCGGTTCTGTGGGCGTGGCTTGGTGGGGGGGGGATAATGTGACTGGGTGGGCGTGGCCAACTTTTTTTTAAAAAAAACTTTTCAAAGCATTTTTTCTAATGCTTTGAAAAGCCTCTCTGCCATCAGGAAACTCAGCTGGGATCGTCAGAGACTTTTCAAAGCATTTTTTTTACCACCTCTTCGGCCAAGAGGTTGCAGAAAAAATTGCTTTGAAACGCCTCTGATGATCCCAGCTGAGCGATCATCAGAGGCTTTTTTTTTTTTTACTTTTAAAAGCATTTTTTCATCGGAAGAGGTTGTAGAAAAAATGCTTTTAAAAGTAAAAAAAAAAGAAACCTCTGATGATCGTGCAGCTCAGCTGGGCATGGGGGAGGAGCAGGGATTTGGTGGGCGTGGCCATGGTGGGCATGGCCTAGTCAGCCTCCTGCACCATGGTGGGGATGGGCATTTTTGCCCTCCCTGGGCTCCAGAGGCCCTCTAGAGGCCTCTTTCCTCGAGCCTCCAGGAGGGCAAAAACAGCCTCCTCAGGCTCCAGAGGCCCTCTGGAGGCCAGAAATGGGGCCCGTTTCCAGCCTTCCCAAACTTCTAGTAGGCCCATTTTTCACCCTCCCCGAGTCTCTGTGCATGCCCTGCACTTACCTGCATCCAAAACTGGCTGCATTGGGACTCCTGGGAGGGGCAGGGTGGGGTGGGCAGGGCCAGCCAGGAGTGGGATTTGGGGGTTCTCCGAACTGTACAGAATCTTACCTGGAGGTTCTGCAAACCCCCAGCAGCCCAACTCTTGGGCTGGGGTGGGGAGATGAAAATCATGGAGACAAGATGATAAAGTGAAAAATAAGGCAATTGCCTGGGTAGACACATAGAACCATACTTTAGCAGTTGTGTTATTCAACAAATGCACGACAATCACTTCCCGACTTTGAGAATTTCACCTACATCTCACCTTTTCCTCACTCGGCTTTCGTCCATCTCTAAAGTCTAATTTAAAGATATGGAAACTGCTTTGGTCTGTCGTACCCAAAGTCAGGATGAGAAAACTCCTTGACGGTTGACTGACATCGCATCCAACAGTTGAGCTGTTTTCCCCAACCTGGTCATAAAACGAAATAACATCATTAGGAGTATTTGATCTAGAGTCTATAAAATCATAAACCCGGGGCTGAGAGTCTTTCCTTGACTTCCTTCTCTCTGCCCTTTAGAGTATGTGCAACGCTAGCAAAGATGGATAGAAGTCCCTTCAACCCTTCCTCTGTCCTAGTCCCAGTTCAGCTATCACCAGATGGATGCAAGTCCTATGACTCTGAATGTAAGCACCAGCAATGCTCAGCAGGTGTCCAAGACCCTTGTCAAAGTAGGCCACTACTGAAGAGGCTGGAAGCCCAGGTAGGCATCCATCCACATCTTGCCTTCAACGCTCAGGTTGATCGAGTACCCCAGGGTGGATCTAAAACAGTGTTCCTCAACCTTGGTAATATGAAGATGCATGAACCTCAACTCCCAGGATTTGGGGAGTTGAAGCCCACACATTGTCATGACTGCATCTCACTTATCCAAGCTTCATGAACTGATGACTGAGCTTCTTTGCTAGGTGACTGAGTGGGACGGTTGACACATATCTACAAATTACTGAGGTTAAGAAACAGTGATCTAATGTAGGAGGGAGTTCTCCAAACTTGGGCACTTTAAGACTTGTGGACCACAACATCCAGAATTCCCCAGCCTGTATGACTGGCTGAGGAATTCTGGGAATTGTAGTCCACAAGTCTTAAAGTGGCCAAGTTAGAAGACTCCAGTTGTAAAGACTTCTGAAGACCTTAGAGTGTTTTTTTTCTCAAAACATTCTCTCCAGGTGAGCAAACCACTTAACTTGCCATAGTTTAGGAGACTCCAGTTGTGAAGACTTCGGAAGATCTTAGGGTGGCTTTTCTCAAACTTGGAATTATATGCGGTGTGGACTTCAGCCCCTAGAATTCCGTAGTGAATATGGGAATTCTGTCTTATAGAAGGCAGAAGCACTGTCTTATACTATGCTTGAAAATATCTAACACTTGCAGGATCCTGATTGTTTTGCTCTGAGTTGCTTCTCACACTCCCATGGAAAGACGGTGCTCATTGTTGGCCAAAAGGAAGTTCAAGAGGACACAGTCAGTCAGATGTTTTGTTGTTTTTGTTCTGGCAGGATCCAAAACTCACAATGGAGATCGACGCTGCTGGTGAAAAGTCTGACAAAACACAAAAGACAACAGGCAAATGTTGCCAGCAAATGTTGAGAGCTCTGAGCTGTGTCACCGGAGATATGAAGGTGTTTGGAGACTGGCTAAAAGGTAGGGCGCATTTCTGGTACCTCTATAAAACCCAATGGAAGCACAGTTGTAGGTGAACAGTTATTGAATGCCTTGATTATCATTCAGAGCAGGGATGGGTTCTACTTATCTTTACTACCTACCTCCCTCCCTCTCTCTCTCTCTCTCTCGCCACCTAACGGGGGCACGCGCGCATGCGCAGATCATCCATTATGACGTCCAGGCAGGTGGGAGGAGCCTCCCGCCGCTTTTACTACCGGTTCGCAAGAACCGGATAGAACCAGGAGCAACCCACCACTGATCCAGAGCAAATGTTTCTCCACCTCAGCAAGTGGACTTCACTTCAACTCCCAGAATTACTGAGACAGCATGCTGGCAAGTTTAAGAGGTGTGGACTTCAACTCCCAGAATTCCCCAGCCAGCCCAAATCTGGGAGTTGACACCCACACATCTTAAAGATGCTAAGGTAGAGAAACACTGTACAAGATTTCCTGAAAAATAGGGTCCCTCCCTCCTTCCTTCCTTCCTTCCTTCCTTCCTTCCTTCCTTCCTTCCTTCCTTCCTTTTTCTTTCTTCCATTTTCCTTTTTTCTTTCTTTTCTTTTTGTTTCATTTCTTTCTTTTCTTTCTTTCCTTTTTTCTTTTCTTTCTTTCCTTTCTTCCATTTCTTTCTTTCCTTTCTTCCTTCCTTCCTTCCTTTCTTTCCTTTCTGTTTCCTTTCTTTCCTCCTTCCTTCCTTCTTTCCTTCTTTTTTCCATCCTTTCCATCCTTTTCTTTCTTTCCTTCCTTCCTTCCTTTTTTCTTTTTGTTCCTTCCTTCCTTTTCTTTTCTCCCTTCCTTCCTTTTTCCTTTCTTTCTTTCCTTTCCCTCTTTCCTTTTTTCCTCCTTCCTTTCTTCTTTCCTTCCTCAGTCTCTCCCTCCCTCTCCCACCCTCTCTGTCTCCCTCCCTCCCTCCCTCCCTCCCTCTCTCTCTCTCCAACCTAAAGCTGTCATTGCTCATCCTTCCATAAGCTTTAGCCTGACCCTTATTTTACACTGTAAACACATCACAAGTTATTTATTCTCGGTCTTCTCTCAGCCATCTCTTTCCCCATCCCACATCATGCATTCCCCTTGCCTGCCTGCCACTCTGATGTTAAATTATACACTGCGAGGGGTGTGTCACAATCCCAACACAAGCTGGCCTAGAGATGTTCAGGCCATCTGCCAACTTCCATGCGAGCAACATAAATTAGCTGTTTTGTATCTTCCGCATGAACTGAGCCACTCAATCAACTTCCCAATTGCGTGATGTTTTTGCAGAGAAGAATAATATGTGTGTCATATTTTACAACCTTATTGGCAGTAGGAGCCACACCAGATGTTGCCAGAGATATACACATTTGGCAATTGTCCCAGTTCATAAACTTTCGAACAACAGAAACAAAACCCTGTGGTGGAATTGTGGAAGATAGGGCAAGTTGCTTTTCTTCTATATTTTGACATTGCATCCTCACTGGTGGCATTGACACAATCTGGTCGTACATTAACCCATTTTAACAGAACAACAGAGTTGGAAGGGACCTTGGAGGTCTTCTAGTCTAACCCCCTGCTCAAGCAGGAGACCCTATCATTCCAGACAAATGGCTGTCCAATCTCTTCTTAAAAACTCCTGCGATGGAGCATCCCACAACTTCTGGAAGCAAGCAGTTCCACCGATTAATTCTTCTAACTGTTGGGAAGTCTCTCCTTAGTTCTAGGATGCTTCTCTCCTTGATTAGTTTCCATCTGTTGCAATGGTGGGTTTCAAAAAATTTTACTACCGGTTCTGTGGGTGTAGCTTAGTGGGAGTGGCATGGCTTGGTGGGCGTGACTTGGTGGGCATGGCAGGGGAAGGATACTGTAAAATCTCCATTCTCACCCCAATCCAGGGGAAGGTTATTGCAAAATCCCCATTTCCTAATGATCAGCTGGGACTTGGCAGGCAGAGAATAGATGTGGGTGTGGCCAATCAGAATAATTACTACCGGTTCTCCGAACGACTCAAAATTTCCGCTACCGGTTCTCCAGAACTGGTCAGAACCTGCTGAAACCCACCTCTGATCTGTTGCTTTGGTTAGTTTGAATGGTGACTTTTGGGTGTCTTCGCATTTTTTGCACATTCTGATGAAGTAATCATTCAAGACAAATGTGTGAATCTGAATAACGGATTAATTCAGCTTTTGTACCTAGGCAGCCATTTAGTAATAGTAAAACAACAACAACAACTGGCAAGGACCTTCAAGCGAGCCAGGGATGACTTCAGTGGGTGTCAGAGTCAAAATGGCAGCTATGACTACAAAATTGTAGTTCCCCCTTTTTATAGGATTTGCAACAATATCCCTTAATCAAACCTTTTACATTGAATTGTTCATCCCTGGATTACCTTATTTATTAGACTTTTATCCCGCCTTTAATTATTTAATAAATAACCTTAAGGCAGTGAACATATCTGATACTCTCTCCTCCTCCTATATCTCCCACAACAACAACTCTGTGAGGTGAGTTGGGCTTAAAAACGGTGACTGGTCCAGTCACCCAACTGGTTTTCATGCCTAAAGCGGGACTAGAACTCCCAGTCTCCTGGTGATTGGCCCTAAGTCACCAAGCAGGCTTTCATGCTTAAGGCAGGACTAGAACTCACAGTCTCCTGGTGATTGGCCCTAAATCACCAAGCAGGCTTTCATGCCTAACGCAGGACTAGAACTCACAGTCTCCTGGTGATTGGCCCTAAGTCACCAAGCAGGCTTTCATGCTTAAGGCAGGACTAGAACTCACAGTCTCCTCGTGATTGGCCCTAAGTCACCAAGCAGGCTTTCATGCTTAAGGCAGGACTAGAACTCACAGTCTCCTGGTGATTGGCCCTAAGTCACCAAGCAGGCTTTCATGCTTAAGGCGGGACTAGAACTCACAGTCTCCTGGTGATTGGCCCTAAGTCACCAAGCAGGCTTTCGTGCTTAAGGCGGGACTAGAACTCCCAGTCTCCTGGTGATTGGCCCTAAGTCACCAAGCAGGCTTTCATGCTTAAGGCGGGACTAGAACTCACAGTCTCCTGGTGATTGGCCCTAAGTCACCAAGCAGGCTTTCATGCTTAAAGCAGGACTAGAACTCACAGTCTCCTGGTGATTGGCCCTAGGTCACCAAGCAGGCTTTCATGCTTAAGGCGGGACTAGAACTCACAGTCTCCTGGTGATTGGCCCTAAGTCACCAATGAGGCTTTCATGCTTAAGGTGGGACTAAAATTTACAACTTCCTGGTAATTGGCCCAAAATCACCCAACCAGCTTTCATGCCTAAGGCAGGACTAGAACTCAGTGCCCTGATCAGTGGCCTCAAGTTACCCAGCGGCTTTTGTGCCTAAGGTAGAATTACAACTTCCCGTCTCCTCCAGGCTAGCACCTCAACCACTACCACAAACTGGCTGTGTGTTATTGCTGCTATTTCCCCCCCCCCCAAAAGGAAGCATTTTATTACCGTATAGTATTCTTGCTTTTTATGGTGATGATCACTTTTATAAACCATCCCAAATAAAGGATTTTGACCCTGGGCTAAGAGTAAGCCGTTGAAATTGCACTTCGTGTGAATTGCTCAATGTTTTGCCTAGCACAAAGACAAAGCAAAAACAAAAACAAACTCAACTTGTTGTGCTGTCTCATCGTTTCCAAGTCAAAGGTAATTCAGAATAGAAAAGAGACCATGATCAAAAGACCATGAATCACAGCTTCCATGCCTTATCCAGGTAGACCAGAGGTCTTTAAACTTGGCAGCCTTAAGACTTGACTAGAACTCACAGTCTCCTCGTGATTGGCCCTAAGTCACCAAGCAGACTTTCATGCTTAAGGCAGGACTAGAACTCACAGTCTCCTCGTGATTGGCCCTAAGTCACCAAGCAGGCTTTCGTGCTTAAGGTGGGACTAGAACTCACAGTCTCCTGGTGATTGGCCCTAAGTCACCAAGCAGGCTTTCGTGCTTAAGGCGGGACTAGAACTCACAGTCTCCTCGTGATTGGCCCTAAGTCACCAAGCAGGCTTTCGTGCTTAAGGCGGGACTAGAACTCACAGTCTCCTGGTGATTGGCCCTAAGTCACCAATGAGGCTTTCATGCTTAAGGTGGGACTAAAATTTACAACTTCCTGGTAATTGGCCCAAAATCACCCAACCAGCTTTCATGCCTAAGGCAGGACTAGAACTCAGTGCCCTGATCAGTGGCCTCAAGTTACCCAGCCGGCTTTTGTGCCTAAGGTAGAACTACAACTTCCCGTCTCCTCCAGGCTAGCACCTCAACCACTACCACAAACTGGCTGTGTGTTATTGCTGCTATTTCCCCCCCCCCCAAAAGGAAGCATTTTATTACCGTATAGTATTCTTGCTTTTTATGGTGATGATCACTTTTATAAACCATCCAAATAAAGGATTTTGAACCCTGGGCTAAGAGTAAGCCGTTGAAATTGCACTTCGTGTGAATTGCTCAATGTTTTGCCTAGCACAAAGACAAAGCAAAAACAAAAACAAACTCACAACTTGTTGTGCTGTCTCATCGTTTCCAGGTCAAAGGTAATTCAGAGTAGAAAAGAGACCATGATAAAAAGACCATGAATCATAGCTTCCATGCCTTATCCAGGTAGACCAGAGGTCTTCAAACTTGGCAGCCTTAAGACTTGCGGACTTCAACTCCCAGAATTCTCCAGCCAGCTAATTCTGGGAGTTGAAGTCCGCAAGTCTTAAGGCTGCCAAGTTTGAAGACCTCTGAGGTAGACTTTTGACCAACAATCTCAAGGTTTCCCAACCCATGGCAACTTCGCAAGAACCGGTAGTAAAACTGGCGGGAGGCCGTGCCCACTGCCCCAGATGTTGTCATCAGTGATCTGTGCATGCGCACGCACGATCCTGTTGCAAACCGGTAGTAAAGATAAGTAGAACCCACCCCTGCTTTCTTCCCTTGCCTTCCTTCTTCACTCCCTCTCCTTCCTTCCTTCCTTTCTTCCTTCCTTCTTTCGTTCCTTTCTTTCTCTCTTCCTTCCTTCCCTCTCTCCCCTTCCTTCACTCTCTCTCCTTCCTCCCTCCCTCCCTCCCTCCATCCCTCCATCCATCCATCCTTCTATCCCTCAAGGTCATCTCTATATTCTTTTCCACAGGATCATCTTATATACTGGTATTACCCGTAATGTGCCATCATACATTGTCAATTGCTTTGTCTTTCAGATAAGCCTGTGGCCCTTCAATTTGTTGACTGGCTTCTGCGGGGTGTTTCTCAAGTGATGTTTGTCAACAATCCACTCAGTGGCATCATCCTGCTTATCGGATTCCTGGTGCAAAGCTGTTGGCTGACACTCATGTGTTGCACTGGAGTGATTGTCTCAACTTTAACTGCAGTTATTCTAAGCCAAGAGAGGTAGGCTGTCCTCTAATTTCCTCCTCCTCCTCCTCCTCCTCCTCCTTCTCCTCCTCCTCTCCTCTTCCTCCTCCTCCTCCTCCTCAAGTTCCAGTGCTCAGATGAAATTAGCCACTGGATTGCTCCTAAGTAGCAACATTCATGCAATCAAATCAAATCAAATATTTTTATTATGATCTTTGACCAACCTTTCCAATATAAGATTACCGTATTTTTCGGAGTATAAAATGCACCAGAGTATTTATTTATTTATTTATTTATTTATTTATTTATTTATTTATTTATTTATTTATTAGTTTGATTTATATGCCGCCCTTTTCCAGAGACTCAGGGGGGCTTACAATGCATTAAGCAATAGCCTTCATACTTTTGTATATACCTGCTTAGTAGGGCTTTTGGGCCCCCCCCAAGCGGTGTTCTTTTTTATACAAAGTCAGCTTATTGCCCCCACAATCTGGGTCCTCGTTTTACCTACCTCGGAAGGATGGAAGGCTGAATCAACCTTGAGCCTGGTGAGAATTGAACTCGCAGTAATTACAGGCAGCTGGCAGCTAAGTGCTACTTTAACAGCACTTAGTCCACTCTGCCACCAAGGCTCCTTAAAGTATAAGTATAAGACACAGCTTAGTTTTTGGGGAGGAAAATGGGGGGGGGGGTGAAAATCTGCCTACCAGGGATTCATCTGGCTAGCGTCCTTAGTCTGGTCAGCTTCAGCACATCAGTTTGCTGTTTTTTTATTTCCTGCTTGGGGATAAAAAAACAGCTTCTAAGGCACAGCTGAGAGGAAGCAGCACTGAGAAAAGCAGGCAAAGCACGGGGAGATCGGTTCACTCGGCTAGCGCCTAGTTAGGGCTGAAAAAAAGCTTCTAAAGAACCGCTGAGAGTCGGAGCAAAGCATGGAGATCGCTTCACTTGCTAGCGCCTCATTAAAGCACAGCGAGGGAGCAGGCAAAGCTGGGAAGATCGCTCACTGGTGCCTCGTTAGCGCCTCATTAAGGCTGGAAAAAAGCATAGAAAAAGCTACATTTGGAATATAAGACGCACCCAAATTTTCAGCCTCTTATAGGGGGCGGGGGGAGAAGGTGCATCTTATACTCCGAAAAATACTCAAATACCGTTCTCAAACTAGGAAAAAATATTGCAATGTATCCAGTGGTGGGTTCCTCCCGGTTCGGTCCGGTTCGGCCGAGCCGGTAGCGGTGACGATATGACGTCACCGAACCGGTTCTCCCCCCCACCCTCCCACCCACATTATTCTTACCTTTTATTTGGTCCCACCCCCAATCTATTGCTGCCTCCTGAGTCCCAGCTGATGACTAGAGGGAAAAAAACTGTTTAAACTCTTGCCGCGGGGCTTCCAAGGGCCGCTCTACAGCTGATCAGTGTTAAAAGCAAACAAATGAGTTGGGTCGTAAGTGCGAGGACTGGTCGTAAGTGCGAGGACCTTCCAGAAATGTTTCTGACCAGCTAGCCATGCCTACCTAGTCACATGACCTCCAAGCCACACCCACAAAATAAGCCACGCCCACAGAACCGGTAGTAAAACAATTTAGAACCCACCCCTGAATGTATCCACTTCTTTATTAAGCCATTAAACCAGTAAAAAGACCATTTTTAATTTTAGATGGGGAGATTTACTGAAATTAACAAACATTTTTGGGAGCCCAGAGGCCAAAAATGAATGCCGAAATGGCTATTCGTTTGTAAAAATTGCTTGACTTTGAAGAGATGCGCATTCCAAATGGTAGCCCTGCATGAGTTTGTATGATGTTCAAGAATGTCCACCTGGGTGTGTCTGCATCCTACATTTGCAAAATAATGTCCCTCCATGCTTGCTACCTAGATCCGCAATTGCTGCTGGACTTCATGGCTACAACGGGGTCCTTGTAGGGATGCTGATGGCTGTCTTCTCAGACAAGGGTGAATATTACTGGTGGCTCCTACTTCCTGTTATTCTCATGTCCATGACCTGGTGAGTCTATATATGTATATATATATATCATCATCTTCATTTAATGACCCTATAATCCTTTGCGGGTTGGAGTCTGGGCAAATGAATGGAGCTGAGTGTTTTACTGGCCGGATGCCTTTCCTGTTGCCAATGCAGAGTTCTAATCAGCAGATATGTATGTAGGGTGCCACAGGGAACAGTCCTCTCGCCCCTTCTGTTCAACATTTATGTGAAGCCACTGGGCGAGATCATCCGTGGTTATGGGGTGAGGTTCCATCAGTACGCTGATGATACTCAGCTGTACATCTCCACCCTGGACCACCCCAATGATGCCCTTAACGTGATATCCCAATGCCTGGAGGCCGTGCGGATCTGGGTGGGGAGGAACAAGCTCAGACTCAACCCTTCCAAGATCGAGTGGCTGTGGTTCCCGGCATCCCGGTATAGTCAGCTGGTTCCATCGCTGACTATTGGGGGCGAGATTCTGGCCCCCTCGGAGAGGGTGCGCAACTTGGGTGTTCTCCTGGATGCACGGCTGTCCTTGGAAGATCATATGACGGCCGTGGCCAGGGGAGCTTTTTATCAGGTTCGCCTGATGCACCAGTTGCGTCCCTTTCTGGACCGGGATGCCCTGCGCACGGTCACTCATGCCCTCATCACGTCACGTCTAGACTACTGTAACGCTGTCTACATGGGGCTCCCCTTGAAGAGCACTCGGAGGCTCCAACTGGTCCAGAATGCGGCTGCGTGGGTGGTTATGGGGGCGACTCGGTGCACCCACGTAACACCCCTCCTGCACGAGCTGCACTGGCTCCCGGTGGTCTTCCGGGTGCGATTCAAGGTGTTGGTCACCACCTTTAAAGCACTCCATGGCTTAGGACCGGGGTATTTACGAGACCGCCTTCTGCCACCATAGCCTCCCACCGGCCAATACGCTCCCACAGAGAGGGGCTCCTCAGGGTACCGTCGGCCAAACAGTGCTGACTGGCGACACCCAGGGGGAGAGCCTTCTCTGTGAGGGCACCAGCCCTCTGGAATGAGCTGCCCCTTGAAGTCCATCTTAGCCCCAACCTGCGTACCTTTCGCCGCGCCTTGAAGACCCTTCTGTTCCAGCAAGCCAGGCTGGCCTAATACGAATTTTATAATGGGTGTATGTGTGTTTTAATTTGTGGGCCAAATTTTTTATATATTCGATTTTAATTGGTTGTAAATTTTGTATATCTATGCGTTATAATATGGCTGTACACCGCCCTGAGTCCTCCGGGAGAAGGGCGGGAATAGAAATCTAAAAATAAATAAATAAATAAATAAATAAATAAATAAATAAATAAATAAATTCTCATCATGCCCAGAGAGAGAAATATCTGCCTCTATACCTAGCATCAAACTCACAGCCTTCTGATTGTGAGGCGAGAGCTCCACTTCTAAGCCACCACACTACTCAGTCTCTCTCTCTATATATACATGATCTGGTAATATTTGTATCCTTTGTCCCGATTTAAAAAAAAAAAAATCCATGATACTGGTAAAGACTTGGTAGTACAGTGGTCTAAAGCACCCTGTTATTAACACAGCTGCCTGCAATTAAAGTAAGTTCGAATCTCGCCAAAGCTCAAGGTTGACTCAGCCTTCCATCCTTTCTAAGGTAGGTGAAATGAGGACCCAGTTTGTGGGGGCAATAAGCTGACTTTGTATAAATATATACAAAAGTATGAAGGCTATTGCTTAACGCATTGTAAGCCGCCCTGAGTCTCCGGAAAAGGGCGGCATATAAATCAAACTAAAAAAAAAAAAAGACTATAGCAAAAACAACTGCATACTTTCTACAATGGTGTGCAATCCTTCTTATTCTTCTTTTTCAGCCCTATCTTCACCAGCGCTTTAGGTTCACTCTTCAGCAAATGGGACCTTCCGGTTTTCACACTGCCTTTCAATTTGGCTCTGAGCCTCTTTCTAGGGGCCACCGGCCATTTTAATTCTTTCTTCCCTACAACGCTGATAGAACCAACCGCCTCTTTGCCCAACAACTCTTGGTCCGACGTTCAAGTGACTATGGTAAGATGATACCGGCCACGTACCCCTTGCGGTGGGGTTTTTGGTGTGTGTGGGGACGGAGGGGAGGGGGTAATCTCTAAAGGAAGAAGCTTCACATAAGTGCAAATACCGGGTGTGAGTTGACCTGGATGGTTTGATTGCTCCTATGTATCTCTTGTAAGGATGCGGTGGCTCAGTGGCTAAGATGCTGAGCTTGTCGATCGAAAGTTCGGCAGTTCAGCGGTTCGAATCCCTAGTGCCGCGTAACGGAGTAAGTTCCTGTTACTTTTCCCAGCTTCTGTTAACCTAGCACAGGGATGGCTAACCTTTTTGCCATTGTGTGCCAAAAGCGGGGGGAGTGCAGGGGGGTCGCACTCACGTGTGCCCACACCCATAATTCAGTGCACCCCACTCCCCCCGCGCATGCACGCGTGACACCCCTGCGCTCCCCCCGCTTTTGGCACGTGATGGCACGGTGGGCCCAGTAGGCCCGTTTTTCGCCTTCCCCAGGCTCCAGAGGCGTACTTGGAGCCTGGGGAGGGCGAAAACAGCCTTCCCCATCCCCCCAGAGGCCCTCCGGAGGCCGGAAATGGCCCATTTGCCAACTTCTGGTGGGACTGGAAGGCCCATTCTTCGCTCTCCCCAACCTCCATAGCCTTTCTAGGAGCCTGGGGAGGGTGAAAACGCCCTTCCCAACCCTGCTTGAGGCTCTCTGGAGGCCAGAAATAGCCTTCCGGTGGGCCCGGAAAGCCCGAAAATATGCGTCCCGGAGCTGAGCTAGGGCAATGCTCGTGTGCCCACTGATATGGCTCCGTGCGCCACCTGTGGCACCCGTGCCATAGGTTTGCCATCACGGACCTAGCAATTCGAAAGCATGCAAATATGTAATAAAAATAGGGACCACTTTTGGTGGGAAGGTAACAGCGTTCCGTGCGCCTTTGGGGTTTAGTCATGCCGGCCACATGACCACGGAGACGTCTTCGGACAGCGCTGGCTCTTCGGCTTTGAAACGGAGATGAGCACCGCCCCCTAGAGTTGGGAACGACTAGCACGTATGTGCGAGGGGGACCTTATGCATCTCTTACTGGCAATATGTGAAAAGCTGGCATTGTATGCAATACCTAGGACAGGATTGTCAAACTCAATTACATTGAGGGCCACATCAGGGTTGTGTTTGACCTCAGGGGCCGGGGTGGGTGTGGCCAGCTCAACGTCACTCGTGTTGGGGGCGCCTGTGGCGGCTCGAGTGCTCTGCCAGCAAAAACAGGCTCCTCGACTCCGTTTCTGGCTGCAACGGCCTCCTGCAACCAGTGGTGGTATTCAGCCGGTTCTATCCGGTTCGGGTGAACTGGTAGCGGCGGCTGCGGGAGGCTCCGCCCACCCACCTGGACGTCATCCCGTCCCGTTTTTGACGCTCTGCGCATGCACGGAAGGATCTGAGCATGTGCAGAGGTGGCGCGTGGGAGCGAAGATAAGCGAATACCACCGCTGCCTGCAACCCTCTGCCAGGGTGGCTCTACGGGCCAGATCTAAGCACCCTGTGGGACGGATTCGGCCCACGGACTTTGAGTTTGACATCCCTGGCCTAGGAAATCTATAGAATGTGTGACATTTTTAGGCACAAAGTATGAAATGTCTGTTATTTTAATATGCTATATAGCAGTGTTTCTCAACCTTGGTAGCTTGAAGATGGGTGGACTTGAACTCCCAGAATCCCCCAGCCAGCTGGCTGGCTGGGGGATTCTGGGAGTTGAAGTCCACCCATCTTCAAGCTACCAAGGTTGAGAAACACTGCTATATACTTTGCCTAAGCATTGAACATAACACCTAGGCATTATGCAGAAGGACAAGAACTATTTAGGCAAAGTATAAAAAGACAGATTTAAAGTTGTTAGGGTTAGGGTTAGGGTCCAAAGAGGTCTGATATTTTGAACGTTATATCCAGGGGTGGGCTTCAAAAATTTTAGCAATCCAAATTTTTCTCCCTCCATTCACAGCAGAACTGCTGCTCCCTTTATGACCCTGTCAAGCTTCGTTGTTATCTCCAAATAAATGAATTTCCAAACGCCCGATCTTTGAGGAATTTTTTCCCTTTATTGAGCATAACGAACTGATCCTGACTCAATGCGCAGTTAGCACTGAACTTTGCCCCCCCCCTCAAAACCTCTCTTTCCGGTTTCCAATTCTCTGCGTCTCATTGGCCATCTTCCAAGCCACTCTTCTCATCCCATCTCCATCAGTTCACAGGAATGTCCCCCTCCCATCCCATCCCCGTGGAGACAGTTCTTCAGGGGAATTAAGTAAGTGAAAGTTTAAGCCTCTCCTCTCATTCCTTATGGCAGCTTGGAAGCTGACAGACCCCTGGCCCCCTCCCTCCCAGGGTCTACCTTAAAGGGACAGGCCGGAAGAAGTGAGCGGCAATCAGGCAACCGGGAGGGTGTGTGTGGGGCCAACCAGGGGTGATTTTTACCGGTTCGGCGAACTTATTCAAATCATCCCTACTGGTTCACCCGAACTGGTCTAATCCGGTTGAATTTCACCCTTGGTCTTCACCCAGGGTCTTGCGGTCAAGTGGTGGAGACTTCTGTTGGGGGTCACTCCAGGAGAATGATTGGGGCACTGAGTTTTAGTCTTTTATGTTTTTATAGTTTTCATATTTTTTTATTGTTGCGAGACACCCAGAGCTGTTTTAAGATGGGCGGTCATGCAACTCTTTTAAAATACCATAAAATTCTTTTACAATCAAATAAAAATAAATACATATAATCAATGTCTAAACGAGGAAGGGTAGACACCTCTTGGTCTATACACGCCTACAGTATAACCCCAATATATATATATATATATATAAAAGAGATTGGATTGGTAGGCCACTACTGGTGGCCTTCAAGCTTTTATCCAGTCAGGTTGGGTTATTATTGTTGTTTTCTGCCAAGAGATCAAAGTTTCCACAATATTATGTTACAACGTGTTAATTATGCCCAATTAGGGTGATATGGTTGTAGGTAGTTTACACCACCTATAAAGTCAAGTGCTATAATAATATTTCCTAACCCAGCCCACTGAGGCAGTTTTCCAACATACTGCTCGATGGCTTTGATGTTGTCACGAATGACAAACAACTTTTTGGTGGATTGTTGTTGTTAGTTGCAAAGTCGTGTCCGACCCATCTCAACCCCATGGACAACGTTCCTCCAGGCCTTCCTGTCCTCTACCATCCTCTGGAGTCCATTTAAGCTCACGCCGACTGCTTCAGTGACTCCATCCAGCCACCTCGTTCTCTGCCGTCCCCTTCTTCTTTTACCCTCCATCGTTCCCAGCATTGGGCTCTTCTCCAGTGAGTCCTTCCTTCTCATTAGGTGGCCAAAGTATTTGAGTTTCATCTTCAGGCTCTGGCCTTCTAAAGAGCAGTCAGGGTTGATCTCCTCTAGGACCGACCGGCTTGATTGCCTTGTAGTCCAAGGGACTCGCAGGAGTCTTCCCCAGCACCATAGTTCAAAGGTCTTAATTCTTTGATTTGGTGGATTAAAGTGCAGGAAAAGCTGTTTTCGTGGCACGGTTATTTGGTGACCTCTCTGTTTACTTGCCTTCAAGTGGACTGGTGTGCTGCTGGATCTAAGATAACAATCATAGTTTGTAACCTACCATGCACGAAATTCATCTGACCCTGAAATGTCTTTCCAAAACATCAACTGTAAGAAACGGTCAGATCTTCTACTGAATTGATGCCTTCAGCAAGACTTTCTTCAAGACAATAACAATAATAAAAACAATTAAAAAGAGGTTGAGACTCTAGAAAGAGTGCAGAGAAGAGCAACGAAAATGATTAGGGGACTGAAGGCTAAAACACATGAAGAACGGTTGCAGGAATCGGCTATGGCTAGTCTAGGGAAAAGAAGGACCGGGGTGACATGATTGAAGACGGGGTCAAACTGGTTTCCAAAGTACCAGAAGGCAAGACAAGAAGCAATGGATGGAAACTGAACAAAGAGAGAAGCAACCTAGAACTAAGGAGAAATTTCCTGACAGTGAGAACAATAAACCAGTAAAACGACTTGCCTCTAGAGGTTGTGGGTATTTCATCACTGGAGGTTTTTAAAAAGAGACTGGATAGCAGTGGTGGGATTCAGCTGGTTCAGGCCGGTTCGGGGCCAACCGGTAGCTAAATTGCTGGATGGCCCCATCCCTTCCTGCCCCGCTCCTTCCTGGAGTCCCCACGTGCCCCATTTTGGCTCCCAGGTAAGTGCAGGGAGGCCTGTAAGCCCAAAATGGAGCACGAGGTGTGTGCACCCCTCACAGCTTGTTTTCGCTCCCAGGAGGCTTCAGGGAGGCATACTAGGCCCGAAATGGGGTGCAGGGGGATGCATCCCCCCCACGGCCCGTTTTTGCTCCCAGGGGAGTGCAGGAGACCAAGTGCTGCCTGCCACACAACCCTGGCCATGCCCATCAAGTCATACCCACAGAACCGGTAGTAAAAAAAATTGAATTCCCCACCACTGCTGGACAGCCATTTGTCTGGAATGGTATAAGGCCGTAATGGCGAACCTATGGCACGTGTGCCACAGGTGGCACACGGAGCCATATCGGTGGGCACGTGAGCGTTGCCCTAGCTCAGCTCCGGCACATGGGAAACGGTCTGTTTCCGGCCTCCAGAGGGCCTCCGTGGTGTGGAGAAGGCCGTTTTCGCCTTCCCCAGGTCCTAGAAAGGCTCTGGAGCCTGGGGAGGGCGAAAAATGGGCCTACCAGGCCAACTTGTGCCATCACATGCCAAAAGCGGGGAGAGTGCAGGGGTTGCACACGCATGCGCGGGAGGGGGGGCGCTGCACATTGAATTATGGGTGTGGGCACGTGCACACACAACCCCCCCACACTCCCCCCGCTTTTGGCACGCGACAGCAAAAAGGTTAGCCATCACTGATATAAGGTCTCCTACTTGAGTACAGGGATTGGACTCGAAGACCTCTTCCGATTGATTCTGTTATTCTTGACAGTGAGAACAATTAATCAATGGAATGGCTTGC